ACTCCGGAGGCCAAGGGAAGCGTTGATGAGCCCCTGCCCTGGGTGTCCGCCCCGGCCCCCCCCTCCTCCAATCGGATCTCAGGCCCCAGGGGAGGGGGACAGGGCGAGGGGCACAGCCAATCATGTCACACGCCGTTGCACCCCCAGCAAGCGGGGGTCGGCTCATTGAAGCACATGCTGGGAAATGAATGATGTTGGCCTCCTGGAGGTCCTCTTGGAGCCCTCTCGGTGCATCTGAGGGGCCTCTTGGGCCGGCTGGAGGACATTTTGGACCGTCTTGGGGCCACCTTGGCCGTCCGAGAGGCGTCTTTGAACCGTCTTCAAGGCCACTTTGGGCCATCTAAGCCGTCTTAGAGGCCATCTTGGCCTCTTGGACGCCATCCTGGAGCCGGTCTGGGCGGACAAATCTGTACCTCCCACCTCCGGGCCGGCGGACATGGGTCGAGACCCCACGGGGCGATCTTCAGAAAAGAATCAAAAACCTGCCATACAGTTGGCACGCAGTGCATCCCTGTGGCAAGACCACAGGGGGCGGCGGATCTACCGGCCTTCGGCCCATCCCGGATTGTAGGTCAGAGGCCTCTTGGGTGCCTGCTGGGACCTCTTGGGGGGCCGGTCGGAAGCCTCTTGGGTGTTTTGTGGCCTCGCGGAGGGCCTCTTGCGGGCCTTTTGTGGGCCCTCCTGGGCCTCTCGGGGGCATCCTGGGGTTTTTGGGGGGCTTCTTGGGGTCTCCTGTCGGTCTCGGGGGCCATCTTGGGACCCTCCTGGGCGGCCTTGGGGTCCTCTTAGGCCGTCCGGGAGCTCTTTTGGGCCGCCTCTTGGAGGCCCCTTGGGCCCTTTTGGGGTCCTCTTGGGCCATCTGGGGCGTCGGAGGCCCGGAAAGGCGAGAACGCTAAAATCCTTGAGACATCGCATGAACATCATTGATGTTTGTCGCGGGGCCCCCTTGGCAGGACTCTCGGAGCCCTCTTTGGGCGCCTTGGGGGCCTCTTCGGTTGTCTTGGGACAAGATCGGATATCTTGGGGCGCTCGTGGGCCATCTCGGGCCGTTCTTCAACTTCCTGGGGCGCTTGTTTGAACACTCTTGGGGGTCCCAGGGGAAGTTTTAGGCTTGCGAAGTGGCCCAACAGCTTACACGAAGCACCCCAGGAAATCCCAAGGATTTCCAGGAGCGGCCAGGAAACCGGGGCTTCAGGCCTTCGAGACTTTTTCAACGCCTTCTTTGAAATGCATAGGTCTTGGGGCACTCCACCCCGTGCTGAAGGCACGGTGGCGCAAATGGAGAAACATTGTGAGAGACGAGGAAGTGATAAGAAGGAGAAGGAGGAAAGCTGAGAAAGATGGAGGGAGGAGAACAGAGAGAAGAGTAGAGAGAGGAGGAGGGAGGTTGAGGACGGAGCAGGGATTAATGCAGGATGAGGATTAAGAAATTACCAGGGGTTGTGTTCACGCGACGGCGCCCAGGATGATGATTAGACAAACGGCCCCCCGGCCTGGAGACTGATTTTTGACCGTTCCTTATTGCCATCCATCGTCGGGCGCGCGCCTGGACAGTCAACGGGCCAGACGGAGCCGAAGCGAAGCGGAAGTCGAAGATTCGGAACTCATGTTGTTGAGGAGGCGCACTTGTGCAATTTGTGCGTTGTCAAAAGGTGGCTTACACACGTCTTGCGGAATCGCCCTGTCGATTCCCACGGGGAGGGTGGGCCGTTGCAGGCGGAGGGGTCCAGCGGCCGATGCACGCTGAAAATGTTGGGGTCACGGTGTGAGGAGAGCTTCGACGGGGCTTGATGACCATGACCCCCGTTGCGGTCATGGTGTTGACGCTGGTTGACCATGACCCCCCTCGCGGTCATAGTGCTCTCGGTCCCTCCCGATCGGGGGTCGCGGTGTGACAGGAGCTTCGGCGGGGATTCATGACCATGACCCCCCTCGCGGTCATGGTGCCGCCGATTGATGACCATGACCCGCCTCGCGGTCATAGTGTTCTCGACCTATCCTGATCAACAGTCTCAGCGTCACGTCCTCTCAGATATTATCTTTGCGCGCACTCTCCCGCAATTCGTTGCCAGACTGGTGTAAGTACCGCTGTTTCCAGCTCCCTCCGCGTCCCACCCTGGAGCGGCACTTGCGTGGCAAGGCATGCGGGACTGCGAACCAGCCCACCTTGTGTGTTGGGCGGGGTTCTTATCTACGGTTCGTGGACCACCCAAGTGCCAAATGTACGTGGCATGTTGTGCGGCACGGGGCGAGTGTCGGTTACCATGGTGAGCCAGGTGTGCTCCGTTACCATGGTGGTTCTGGTTGCTTGTGCCTCTGTGGCATTGGTTGCTGCTTCAGCCTGTTACCAGTGCGGGGTATCGTCGACCCAATGTGGTGGCATTGGGCCATCTGGTGTGGTTGTCCCGCAGTACCAGGTGACGTTGTAGGCGTTTTTCCCACGTAGCGCCACGCCTACCACAGTAGCTTGGCGACGCCGTCGGTCTGTCGGTGGCTTACGCCGCACCGCCGACCCCCATCACCGTGTCTCCCCTCACCCGTGTGCGTGATGTGTGACATTACGACGTTTGTCGCTCCCCCCACATTATTGCATTGATCGCCATCTTACAATCAGGAAGGAGGCAGGAAAAGGAGGAGGCAGGAGGAAGAGAAGGAGGGGGAGGACGACGAGGAGGGGAAGCTGAGGAGAAGCAGGAGGAGGAGGAGGGGGAGGGATAAGGTCGACGACGATGGCGGAAGAAGGAGGCGGAGGAGGCGGAGGAGGAGGTTGCAGGAGGAGTAGGATGTAGGTTGAGAGGGACGGGAGAAGGAGACGTGGAATGAGGAGGTGGATGCAAGAGGAGGAGCAGGAGGAGGAGGCGTAGAAGGAGGAAACACATAAGGAAGACGACGAGGATAACGACGAGGAGAAACAGAAACAGCTTGAAGATAGATATTGAAGGACGGGAAAAAGGACAGGGGCGGAGGAGGGGGATGGGGGAGGGAGGGAGCGAGGAGACTGGGTGGGATTAGAAGGGGGAAGCGGAAGAACAGAGGCTTATGAAAAAAAGGCGACGTCGGGAGGAACACGATAAGAACGACGGACAAGGGAGGAAGCCTCTGATTCAAACGTCACAGCCAAACATTGGTGGAAGTTGTTTGTGGGAGGGCTGTCTCACATCGTCCAGAAGATGAGCACATCATGCAGCGACGCACCCAGTACTTGCTTTACTGGTTCTATGTCAAAGGGTAGAGACTACCGAGTTTATATGATAACCCATTGTACTGGATGCCAACGAATCACAACAAAGTCGCGGATGGGCCCGCAGACCTCACCACGGACAATCTGACGTATTTGAGAAAGACGCTGCCGGCAAAATCCGACCGTGACCCAATGAATGCGAACATCGTCGTGCAGACCGACGGGGGGAAAGGGGGAAGTACGTGTGCCGCAGCTTTTGTTGCAGTTGGGCTATTCACCATGTTTGGGAGTGTCCTTGTATACGAGCCTTGGCATGCGGAAGGTAGTTATCTCTTGAGTTCAACCCAGTGGCTGAGACGGCGCATGTCTGGAGAAGCGCCCGCAACGGTCGTAATGCCGGCCCCAAGACTACGGACGCTAAGGCGAAAGCAATCGTCAATTCAGCTCCAACATTTCGTTCGTCAAGACGAGAGGAGCCATCAACTCGGCCCCGACACTTTGTTCGTCAAGACCAAGGTCGTGCTTAACTATCTGCTCGGCCCCGACGCTTTTTTCGTCAAGAGGAAGGGGGCGGCAAGGGGGGCCGTCAAGGGAGCTCATCAACTCGGAGGGAGGCCGTCACGAGGTTCGTCACCCCAGAAGGAGACCGTCAAGGGGATTCGTCAAGGGGGTTCGTCAACTTGGAGAAGGGCCGTCAAGGGCGTTCGTCAATTCAGAGAGAGGCCTTCAAGGGGTTTCGTCAACTCGGAAGGAGGCCGTCAAGCAGGTTCGTCAACTCGGAGTGGACGGATAACTCTTTTCAGTCATATGGGGCTGGCGGCCAAATCTTTTCACTGAGATGGAGTTGGCGGCTCAAGCGCCGGATAGAGTATACATGGTCATCCGTCGTGGCGTCCATGCCCACCTCCAGACCTGCCGCCCGCGGCAGACTCAAGTCATTTGTTTTATCTGTCTGGCAGTGCTTCAGCTTGTTGAGACTGAGGCGATCGCGGTATATAGTGAGGCGAGGTGGATGATTGGAACGTGAGGTGCAGTTGGTAGGGATCTGACTTAGGCGGTGGGGAATCAAGAAAAGGATGAAGATTGAGGGGGAGGAGGCGGAGGAGAAGAAGGAGGAGGTCGGAAAAGGGAAGCGGCGGAGAATGAGAAGGAGAAGGTTGGAGGACAAAGGAGATTGGCCTCTTCTGTCGCCTACTTCCCTCTCTCCTCCCCCGTTCTCACTCCTCCCTTCCATTCTTCCCTCCTTCCGTCCTCCGCCCCCTCCTCCCTTCCCCCTCTCATCGTTCCCCTTCCTCCTTCCCGCCTCTGGAAGCGTCCAGAAGTTATAAAAAGGGCCCGCTGCTTCTCCAAACCTCGCAATCTCCGATAGGAAATAACTCTAGGCACACCGAGTGACCAATTGCAAACACCATTCACAAAGACCTCGCATGGAGTTCCTCCCAACAGCATCGTTGGACCTATCCCTATCCCGCTGGGACGGGCGCTAGTGTCGGCCCAACGGGCTTCGGTCTGACACGCTAACCACGTCCAAGTCCCCAAGCTTTTCTCAGCCTCCCGCCACGCGGAGCGGAGCAACACGCTACCCGTTTGCAGGGCGTAGCGTGTTGCCGTGGCCGCCGCCGCGACGAGAAGCACAAGTTCGTGGCCGTATCCCCATCCCCACTGGCAAAGCCTTGGCCCCGCTGTCCGACCCACGCATGCAGGAGGGGCGTGCCAGACAGCGGGGCCAAGGCAACTGGCCCATGCACGCGGACAAGCAGTGTCAAATTTCAGGCGCGCTTTGACTGGTCGGGCCGTCACGGCGGCAGGCGCGGCACAGGTCCAGAGGATGAAGGATTGGCTTGATCTGCGAATGGGTCGTCGCTGACATTCTTCGAACGCAAAGAGACACGACAACACCAGACAATTGCAGGAGGGGACGGGTGCCCTCCCTGTCGGATCTCGCGGTGTCCGCCTCCACCCGGAGGAGGCAGGCCGGTGGCACCAAGGAGCCCTGGCCCATTGGGGATGGGGACAGGTTTGACGATGCTGACCCGAGCGAGGTCCACTTCGACCCGATCGACCTGCGTCGCGATCGAGTCCGGCCAGCTCGATCCGATTCAATTCCGATATTCCGACGATCCGATGCAGCCCGATGTTTGCATGGAGTTTGTGCATCCTGGCCCAGCCGATTCGACTCCATGTCAACTCCGTGCTGGTGCAGCTCAATCCGATGCACATGCCTAGTTGGATCCGATTTCTTGATCCGATGTTGATTGATCCAGGGGCGCGTTCTGGCTAGAATTTCGACGAGAATCTAGCCGTGGCAACGAGGACGCTCCAGGAGGCGCCAAGGGACGCAACAATTCCCCAAAGCCTCTCGAGCATCGATCAACCTCCACAGGGCATACATCCACATCCATCGGTCCCAGAGCCCGCGGGACACGACCCCGCGGCAGTGGATATGGACACATTCTAGCAGCGCACCTTCGATCCTCCCGAGCCTCGATCTCGATCCCGAGGCGGCCTTGGTCTTGCCAGCATGGCCGGCGTCGCGCTGCCCGTGGCCGTGGGTGCTGGCGCCCTCTTCCAGAGCGCGTCCCACGGGGGGGGCGGGGGCAAACCGCCCCGAGACGTCCACGCCGCCGCCGCTTCTCTGCGCTGGCACGGGCCGCCCGCGGCATGGCGCCGCCGCCGCCGTCGTCGCCGCCACCGCTGTCGCCGCCGTCGTCACCGCTACCGTCGGCGTCGTCTCCGCCGCCTGTGAAATGGCGTCGCCGTCGTCGCCGCCGCCGCCGCCTGCGGTGTGGCGTCGCCGCCGCCGCCGCTTCTACTCGTGCATGTGGCGGTGGCGGCATTCCAGGTAGGGCCTCGCCTTCGGTTCGGCAGACGCCTGCAGAAGGCCAGCGGAAGCAAACGGACCCACCCTTGACCCGTGACACACCCTCGACCCCGCGACCCACCCACCCTTGACCCACCAAATTCGGCGCCAGCGGCGGGACAGTTGTACATTGTGTAAAATGAACGCTTTCGGCGAGCTTTTTCTAATGTCTTGTCGAGCCTCGCAGACTGCCGACGACCCCGCCGCCCCCCTCATTCTTATCCGTAACTGCAAGGGCTATCGTTTTTGCAATGAACACAGATTGCATCACGTAGATCGCACATCGAGAGCACTAAAACCGCCTTGTTAGGGCCCATGCGCTGGCATCACTTGAAAGAAGATGGATGCAGGGGGAGGGGGGCGGACGACGATGAACGAGAGCCCCTTGGCCGTCCCGCTCTCCTCGGTTATTTGGCGGTGCCTCTGGCCCCTCAGCTCTGTGGCAGGCAGTGCATCCTCCTCCTCCTCCTCCTCCTCCTCCTCCTCCTCCTCTCCGCCTACGGCAAGTTCGCTCCTCGTTGACGCGACGACGACCCTGGCGAGGGTATTCAAGGTTGAACGCCGCCAGACCTCGCGCTATCGGAGAGCCGCGATCGCTCATGGTTGGACGGTCCACGCCGCGTCAGAACTCAGAACCCAATGTACAGGCCGCCACGACACGAACCTGCGTGCCCCGCTCCCTGCCTGCTGCCTCTCCGCCCCTGCGCCGCCGGCCGCCTCCCAGGTCTGCGTTCGTGCCGGGCACGGCCGGCGTCCGCGGGTCCGTGGCGGCTTCCTGGTGGCGGCGGGGGGGCCAAAATTTGCAAGTTGCAAGAAAGCTCGGCGTACATGGCGTGGCCTGCCCCAGGCGAGAGCTGGACACACGTGCGGCCACTCGTCGTCCCAGAGCTCGACCCTCGTGGGGCTGGGCACGGTTCGTCATCACCATGGTTGTCGGTATGTTTTGTCGCGCGCGTCGTCGCATTGGCCTTCGCCTGCCTTAAGCTCTCGCCAAATGTCTGCTGTTGGTCGCTCGCCGCACTACCGTATTGATCTATTGGCAGTCGGCCCATCCCGCGACCGGGCCTGGGTTGCGGACAAGACCTTCTTTTTGTTCACCCTCGTGCTCGCCTTTTTGTTTGCGCTTCCCCGTTCGGCTCCGTGCCTTTGAGGCCTCCAGGGGTCTCTTGGAAAGCCTTGTGGAGTCTTCTCTGGGGTCTCGTGGTTGCCATTTGGAGGCCGCCTTAGGGGACCTCCTAGCAAACTCAAAGGGGTCTCTGTGGCCCTAGGGCCCTAGGGGGTTCGCTTGGCGTCCTCTTTCGGATCCTCTTTTGGGCCTGCATGCGGTCTCGGGGGCGGTCCCGCAGGATGTCTCGGGGAAAAGGCTCATCGAGCATGCGAAAATCGAGCGAGGCTGAATGTTCGTCTTTAATTATTCATTCTTGGGCCAGTCCCGCCCAAGAGGCCCCGAAGAGAGCAAGGCCCTGAAGTACCCGGGAGCGCCGGGGAAACGCGGGTGGGGGCCCTTGGACTTTGCATTTGGAAGTTCCATACGGATAGCTGCGAGAGCTAGCTACGTCCCGCCATTTTTCTCAGGGCCCCGTCAGGCAAGTCTTTCGTCTCCCCGACCGTGCAGGGCCCCAGGGGCCCGAAAGCGGTGAGAATTCCGAGGGCACCTTTCCTTCAGGGGGCCCACTTCTTTCATGGCGGCTGACGGTCCTGGGGCTTGTGGTGGGCCTCAGCGGCCCGAAGACAGCTACCACCTTTTGGGACCCGTTTCCTCAGGGCCCGTTTCCTTCGATGCTGAACCCCCCAAGATCCATGTCGATTCGGTCGATCCCTTCCGATACCGATCCCGGCCAGCCCGATCCGAGCCGATTCCGATATTCGGACGATCCGATGCGGCTTGATGCTCGCATGGCGCTGCTATGCACCCTGGCGAAACCGATCCGATTCGATGGCGACTCCGCTCCGACGCCAGCCCGATCGGACGCACACTCCGACTTCCCGATCCGACCTCCCGATCCGACTCCTCGATCCGGTGCCGACCGATCCTGCCCCCTCCTCGTGGAGGCAGCCCACCGGTGCGCAGAAGGCGGAGCAGGGCGGCGACCTCGCCTCGAAGGCCACCACCGGGCTGCTCGCCATCGCGGCGGCCGCGGTCGGGGGGGCAGCCGTGCGGCGCGCGGCGCCGAAGAGGTCGCCGCCCGCAGCCCGCCCCGCCAGGGCGGGGGCGCTCGGAGGCCCTCGTCGGTCTCGGCGAGGACGGCGGCGGACAACGGACGGACGGCGGAGGACGGACGACGGACGGCGGCCGGCGGACGGCGGGCAGCGGACGACGACGACGACGACGACGGACGACGTCCCCGACGGGCGTGGTGCGCGGAGGCCCCGAGGCCTCGAGTAGCGACGAAGTGCAAGGGGCGGGGCACGGGGCCATCATCCTCGGCGCCGGGAGGGTCCGCGTCCGGGCCCCTGGGGCCGTCATCGATCAGCGCGTGTGTGCGTGTGTTGTGTGCGTGTGTTGTGTGCGTGTGTTGTGTGTGTGTGTGTTGTGCGTGTTGCGTGTGTGCGTGTCATATTCGGCGCCAGGAGTGTCCGTGTTCGGACCCTTGGGGCCGTCGACGATCGGCGCGTGTGTGCGTGTATTCGTGTGTGCGTGTGTGTGTGTGTGTCTGTTGTGTGTGTGTGCTCGTTGTGTTTGCTGCGTATGTGTGTTAAGTGAATTGTGTGTAGGTTGTGTGTGCGTGTGTATTGTGTGTATGTGTGTATGTGTGTGTGTGTGTGTGCGTGTGCGTGTGCGTGTGCGTGTGCATGTGCGTGTGTGCGTCTGTGTTGTGCGTGTGTGCGTTAATGTGCCTGTGCCTGTGCCTTTGCGTGTGCAAGTGCGTCTGCGTCTGCGTCTGCGTGTGCGTGTGCGTGTGCGCGTGCGTGTGCGTGTGCGTGTGCGTGTGCGTGCGTGCGTGCGTGTGTTTTTGTGTGTGTGCGTGTGTGTGTGTGTGTGTTCGTGCTTTGCGCGGCCCGCTCTGACTCGACTCGCCGTTTGCGCTTTCGCTTGCGGCTGCTGACTAAAAAAGTGTGTTTGTGTGTGTGTGTGCGTGCGTGCGTGCGTGTGTGTGTGTGTGTGTGGTGTGTGTGTTCCACGGTTCGTTGCCCGCCCATTGCGGCGATGCTGCATCTCCGCACCATCTCATACCCGGCCGCACGCCGTGGCAACTCATGCCGGCTGCGGAGGATGAAGGGAAGTACGTGGGTGGGGCACGGGCCCTTGTGCACCCAGCCATACGCCGACTCACGCTCGCACGCTGCTCCCAGTGCACCCATCCACTAAAACCGGCCCCGTCCCAGAACCAGGCAGAGCCAACGCTCGCACGACAACTCGGGCCGCACACGGCGAGGTCCCGCAACAGCGCGTGGCAGCATCCAGCCTTGGACGTGAACGTGTGTGCGGCCCTCGGTGGTTGCCGCTGTCGGCTAAGGAAAGTGGACCAGGCCGTTCAAGGTGGTGTGATGTGGCGGCACCGCGTCTTGCGTCTCCACACGAGGCTCGCGGGAGCCCGTTGGAGCGCGGGTGGGTAAGATACCGTGCTTGTTTGCCACTCCAGACCAGGGGGGGGGGAGAGAGGGAGCCTCGCCGCGCAGCACGGGGCCGAAAGCGCTCAGGACGGTCACGTCGACGGATTTCTTCAGGAGCGGCCCTGGAAAGAGCAGTGCCGAACCGCCCTGCCCCGAGGCCCAACCTGCTCGCACAATGCCGGGCCAGCAGCTGGTAGCACATGCCGCTGAGTTCGGGCAGGGACCGCATCCCCCAGGAGCAACGCCATGCCGGCGACTGGGGGAGGAGGAGTAGGAAGAGAAGGAAGGGACCAGGGCGAGTGGCGATGACTTTTGCGCAGAACCAGGCCGAGACCCGCCTGAGAGTCTGGACAACACGAGGGCTTTCGTGGCGGCCGTCTCTGAGCGACATTACAGACGGCGAAGTCCCCAGAGACGGGCCACAACACCACCGCCATGCCGGAAGAGCCTCAAGCCCCGCCAGTAGCCCGCAAAAGGGCGCGCGAGCTTCGGGGCCGCGCTTAGGCAGATACAGCCATGCAAGCAGATGCCCCTACGTAACCCGAAGGCCGCAACGGCAATCTGACAGGGTATCGTCTACACTGGCATTGCCAACCGCAAGGCATCTCGGCACAGCGACGTTGTGCGTGTGCGTGCGCCCGAGACCTGCAGCACATCACAACACAAACCGACCCCAATTTGCTGTGTGTTGTGTATAGTGTGTTTGATGTGTATGTATGTATGTGTGCATGTATGTATGTGTATGTAGATGTGCATGCATGCCAGTATGTAATGCATGTCATGAATGTGTGTATGTATGGATGCATGCATGCATGCATGCATGCATGCATGTTTGTATGTATGTATGTATGTATGTATGTATGTATGTATGTATGTATGTACGGATGGTATGTATGTATGCATGCATGCCTGCATGTATGTATGTATGTATGTATGTATGTATGTATGTGTGTGTATGTATGTATGGATGTGTGTATGTATGTATGTATGCATGTATGTATGTATGTATGTATGTGTGTCTGTATGTATTTATGTATGTATGTATGTGTGTATGTATGTATGTATGTATGTATGTATGTATGTATGTATGTATGTGTGTGTATGTATGTATGTATGTAGGTAGGTAGGTAGGTAGGTAGGTAGGTAGGTAGGTATGTAGGTATGTAGGTATGTAGGTAGGTAGGTAGGTAGGTAGGTAGGTAGGTATGTATGTATATGTGTATATGTGTGTGTGCGTGTGTGTGTGTGTGTGTACGTCTGGGTGTGTTGTGTGTCTGTGTTTTGTGTGTGTTTGTGCATCCGTGCGGCGTGCGTGCGTGCGTGCGTGCGTGCGTGCGTGTGTGCGTGTGTGCGTGTGTGCGCGTGTGTGTGTGTGTGTGTGTGTGTGGTGTGTGTGTGGTGTGTGGTGTGTGGGCGTGTGTGCGTGCGCGCGTGCGTGCGTGCGTGTGTGCGTTCGTGCGTGCGTGCGTGCGTGCGTGCGTGCGTGCGTGTGTGCGTGTGTGCGTGTGTGCGCGTGTGTGTGTGTGCGCGCGGACTGCGTTCGGGTCCTGGGCCTGGTCTTGCCGCCTGTTCCCCTACGCTGACCTGGCATTGTGTCGGATGCAGTCCAACCTGGACGCACATGTACTTGCCGCACTTTGTCCTGTGCCTCCCACCTGGGCGGCACGCGGCCCTCGCCATCCACCCTGCACCTCGTGCTCTTCGTCGGCGGCAGCGCTTTTTCGTGTACCTGCAGTGCCGTACTGGGCCCCGCTCGCGCCCGTGGGTGCACCTGTGCCGCGGCCCGGCAGCTGCCACGGTCCCCGCCGGCGGGGCTGGCCGCGCCAGCTCACGCAGGGATGAGACCCGTCCGCCCCTGATTGGACACCCGTTTTCCCCCCTCTGCGGCCGCCCGCCCTGCCCTGTTTTCCGCTCGCGCGTGCTGGCTTATTCGCTACAGAGCCGCCCCCGTTTAGCCTGCTCGCTGGCGCTGCGACCTCAGCGACGCCGCCAACGGGAAAAGTATGTGTGTATGTGTGTGTGTGCGTGTGTGTGTGTGTGTGCGCGTGTGTGTGTGTGTGCGTGTGCGCGTGTAGTGCGTGGGTGCGTGCGTACGTGCAGGCGTGCGTGTTGTGTTGTGTTTTGTTATAGTGCGTTGTGTTGTGTCGCGTTGCGTTTTGTTGTGATGTGTTGTGCTGTGGTGTTTTCTGCAGGGTTGTGATGTGTTGCGTTGTGCTATGCTGTGTTGGTGTGTGGTGCGGTGTGTGGTGTGGCGTTGCGGCGTGCTGCGTAGTATTGTGTTGTATTGCGGTGTGGTGTGCTGTAGTGGACTGTGGTGATTGTGGTGTGTTGTGATGTGTTGCGAATTGCGTGTTGTGCGTTGTGTTGTGTCGTCATATATTTTCTTGAGCCGTTTTTTGTTGCAGCGTTGTGTTGTGATGTGTTGTGCTTTGCTGTGTTTGATGTCATATGTAGTGTTTTTTGTCTGTTGTGCTGTGTTGTGCTCTGTCGTGTCGTGTCGTGCTGTGCTGTGCTGTGCTGCGTTGGTGTGTGTTTGCGCGTGCGTGTTCAGCCGCAACGTGTTCCTTCAGTTCTGGCCCCATGGGACCCCCTGGATATCAAAAACAGATCCAAAACCAAAAAGAATCCCCGGGGACCAGGTCCAGAGTTTTTTTTCGGCTGCGCGTAAGAGTGGCCTCTGGTGCGGGCCCGCTGGGGTTCCCCCAACATCGGCTTGCGCGCTTGGATTTGGCCCCCCCCGCGGCCCCGTCAAGCCGCGCACCAAAGGAGTATAGCAGATTCGCGGTCGGGGACGGACAAGCATCTACAAAAACAGCTTTGTTGGATGTCCTTGGATGACGCGCGCGAAGGCACGGAGGGGCGGGGGCTTCCGTGGCCCCTCCAATGCCCAGTGCCGCCCCCCCCCCCCGCCGATATCATCGACCAGGCTCCTTGTCGCCCCATGTGCACCGAATCGACAGCCGCACTGGTCCTGATTGCTTGCCCCTGTCCATTGCGAAGAGTACGCCTGGAACGATACGAGTGCCGCGTGCAGGCGCTGAGGCGCACCCCTCGCGTGGAGCAGCGGCGCTCAAGCCCCCGCCGGCCAGGTCGCAGGTGGCGACGAAGGCTGTGCGCCGCGACTTGGCAGTGGCGTACGAGGACCACGCCCCAGCAGTTCGAAGAATAATTACCAACATAAGCATTAACTTGTAGAGCTACTCGTGGACCTCAGACAGTTTCTGCTTAAGTAGTTTCTTTTTCGTTATCCCAATCCCCCTCAACAGTCGAGCATCACGGCAGTAGCAAATCGCTTGATCGCACGAGCGCAATGGCCCAGTCGAGCGCAGGATCTCGCAGTGGCGAGCGCATGGAGGACAAGGGTGCGAGAGTGGAGCCGTGGCTGTATAGCTTGATCGTCTCGATCAGCTTGCCCGCCCTGGGCCTCTTCGGTTTCTGAGGGGCCTCATTGGACTTTCTTGGGGGCCTCTTAGTGGCCTCTGGGGGCCTCTTGTGGTCACTTCGAGCTTTCCTGGCCCGTGAGGCGCAGGCCCGAGTCCCAGCGTGGGCCTAGAAATCTCCCAGAGGCCTCAACATACTGCTCCAGATGGTCTCCGAGCCCTCCAGCGATCGGTCCAAAGTGCTTCAGCTGGCCCCGAGACGTCCCAAACAGTTCTCCAGACGTTCGAAAGGAGTTCCCGCAGCGTCCCCACGGTGGCCTCTCAGGCCAGCATGTTGTTTGGTTTTGCCACGTGCTCAGCGTTCTCGCGTTCGCATGCTTGTGATGCTTCCAGTCGGCGCGACGGGCCACACATACAGCCTAAGAGGCCCCCAAGACCGCTCCAAAACGGCCCAAGATGGCCCACCGACCGCCCGCGAGGGCCCCAAGTCGACCCCAAAAGGGGCCCAAGAGGGGGAGCGCGAATCGGAAGCCTGAGGTTCCGCCGCAATGCGCGCCCAGGAGGCTGCCAGGAGGTTCCCAGCAGGCTCCCAGGAACCCCCCACGAGACCCCCATGGCCTTCCCAAGAGGGCCTTCGGCAGCAACTGTCAAGCATTGTGTTTGGGTTTGTGCAGGGCTGTCAGCGTTCTCGCCTTCTCGGACTTCTCATGATTTTCATCGGCGCGACACGCCCAAAACAAACCCCCATTACAGCCCCAGACGCTCCCGCGATCGCCTTAAGACGGCCCAGGACGGCCCCAGGACGGCCCAAGGAGGCCACCCCTGACGACCCCGAGAAGGGCCCAAGAAGGGGAGCACGAGTCGGAAGTCACCGTTTTCGCCGTAAGGAGCGCCCACGAGGCTCCCAGAAGGCTCCCCCGAGGCCCCCAAGAGGCCCCGATGGCGTTCTGAAGTTCCCAAGGGGCCTCCTGTAGACAAAGCATGCAGCTGTGGTTTTTAGGATGTTCAGTTTCCTCGCCTTCTCAAGGTCGTCGTGCTCCCAGAAAGTCACCCAAAAAGGCCCCGCAAGACCGCCCACCAACGGCCCAAGATGGCCCTGGGACGGCCCGTGAGGGCCTCAAGGCGACCCCAAGAGGGGCCCAAGAGGGGGAGCATGAATCGGAAACCCGAGGTTACGCCGCACCCGAGGTTACGCCGCAAAACGCGCCCAGGAAGCGCCTTGACGGCTCCCAGGAGGCTCTCAGGAGGCCCCCTGGAGCCCTGGTCGTCACCGTCGTCTATGACGTGAATGCTGAGAAAGAAATGAAGAATGTGAAGCGAACCCTTTTCGCTATAACTATCGGCGGCGCGCTGGCCCGCGCCGTCCTGAGGCGGTATCCCGCCTGGAATATGAAACCCACCCGCCCACTGCCGAGCCAAACATGCTGCAGGGACGGGAGACTCGAGCAGACCCCTCACGAGATGTCTCGCATGAACATCCTCGAAATCAGACAGGGGGAAAAGACATCTGCTCGAGCTCGGAGGGCGTGGCACCTGCCGTGGCCACGTCGCGAGTCGCGGGCTGGACCCGCCTCCGGCCTTCCAGGATCTTCTTGGCCTCGCTGTGGTCGGTCTCCGTCGTCTCGTCGAAGGTCCCTTTACCAAGGGCAGACCGTTTGCGAGCCGAAAGAAACCTCTCATCGTGAACGATCTTCCACCGCTGGCTCTTCAGGAAAGCATGGAGCACATTGAAGGCCTGCTGGCTGGCTTTGGTCATGCCGTCGGCCAGCTGGGCATGGCTATGTACCCAGCGCACAATTGTCTTGCCCTCCTCGAGGGCCCGTCGCAAGGCGAGCGCCTCTATGGCCGTCATCCTCTCGTCGAGGCCCAAGCCGGCCGACTCGGACTTCACCACCCCGTCGTAGAACGCCTTACAATCAGTCACGAGAGCTCCTGGAATGTGAAGCAGAGCAGCAGCACGATTCTGGAGGTCGACCGACCCGAAGAGCACCTCGTAGAGCACCAGGCGAACCATCATCTGCTCGCCCTCCGCATCGCTGGCCTCCTGGATCTCCGCAGACAGGCTGGACCTGGCGACGCGCTTGAGCTTGCGAGATCCCCAGTCTAAGACAGTGAAGTCGCATGCCTCCTGAAACGGTCCTTCTGCTGAACTGAGAGCTGTAACGTGACCGCCTTGGGAATGTCCGTCAGGTCGGCTGGCCCAGGCAGCGTCGCACCAGGTGTAGATACGAAAATCGGAGGAGCCACCTCGTCCGCACCCTGGCAGTTGGTGGCGAAAGGTCTGAATACCGTCAGTCCGATTGGCCTTGACCATCTTGGTGATGTTGTTCGCTATCGAAAAGAGCTTGTAGCCACCATTGGGGATCTTGCTTTGAACATCTGCAACCCATGCTGAAACCCAGGGAAGTGCATTGACTCCGAGCCGCGAGAGAGCTCCACACCAAGTTCTCAAGGTACTCTGGTCCGCCTCGGTCAATCGGTCGCTGCCCTTGGCCTTCGGGTACTTTGGAAAGATCTCCTCCAGCTTGTCAATATAGTTCTGCTGGTGTTGGAAGAAACCCTTCTCGTTCTTTTCGATCGTCACCCCACGCTGCTCGATGGAGTCGATCTCGTCGCCCATGTCCTCCCAGGTGCCCCACGTGTAGAGGTCCTTGATGCTCTTCAGCGCCTTCCGCCATGCAGGATGTTCTCGGGCACCGCAAAGGATGAAGTCATCCACGTGGCACATGATGGTTCCCAGCAGCGTCTTGGTCTCAGGGCAGCGTAGACTCCACAGGCATGGTTCGAGATCGCGCGCCTGTAATCCCAGCTTGGCGAAGTCCTGCTTCACCGTCTGCAACCATTTGCGAGGGGCCTCGCCGATGCCGTAGCCCGGCTTCACCACGCGTAGCACTTGACCAGGTTGAACGCCAAACTCGGCGGACAGCGCCTCGTCGGCTTCCACGAAGAGATCCTTCTTTAGGTCGTTCGCCTGCGGGAACGCGCTGGTCACGTCGCCCTTGACGATGGCCCAGGAGTTGGCGGCCGCGCCCGAGAGGGGCAGATTCCGGGCGCGGCGCGAGGCCGTTGGGGAAGCAGTCGGTTCCTGTCCGATGTCCTTGGTCTGGTAGCCGAGGAGGACGAGGCGCGCCTTTGCGGTCCCATCGCTCTTGCGCGTCAGCACCCAGCGGCGCCTGATCACATCCGCGGGATCCTTTACCTCGGAGACGGGTACGCGTCGGAGACCTGTGTACTGCTTCCAGTTGGCGACCTCCTTCGTCATGGCCAGGCGGAACTCCGTCTTCTCGGAGGGGGAAAGCTTTCCCCAGTGAAACTTGATCTTATCTTTCCGCTTCTGGTTGGCAACGAAGCAGTTCAACATCTGAGAGGTGAGACGGCGTCCGCCCTGACTGTCCGCAAGTTCGGACTTGACCATCTCGTAGTAGACCGTCATGTTCTCGTCGATCAGCTCGAAATCGGTGCCGCCCCGGTTCCCGTCGAAGGTGGTCCGAGAGAAAAGCTCCTCGTCGTGCTCCTCGACTTTTGGCTTGCCCTCAGAGTAGGGCCCAGGTCGGTCCTGTCGTCGTTCAGCAGGTGACTGTCGGTAGGTGGTCTCGTCGCCCTTGGAGGGCAGGCGCCACCGCCGATGAGGTGGGTCAGCAGGTGTGGCTGAGCTCACTCTGGACGGTGAACTTAACCGAGACTGCTTCGGGACAGGCTGCTCGATGGAGGAGATACTTGAAGGGGAAGGCGGAGACGATTCAGGTGGCGTCGGCTCGCCTGCTGGTTCCGAACGTCCGTCTGAGGGATCAGGTGTAGCAGCTTCTTCGTCCATCCGATCGTCATGGTCCTCGGGTGACACGGGCGGCTGGATCGCCTGTGTTTCGAAGTTCTGGATGCGCGGTCGGCTCTCGTTGGTGAGATCCTCGAACGTTCCGCGGCGGGCGACCTCCATCAAGTCGGACATGGTAACCCCGCGTCCCTCCATGTTGTTGAGCTCCACGACCATTCGCTCGGCCTCCGTAGCTGGGCGCAGTTGCTCAGGACCACATCGAAGTAGAACATCGCCGTGCGAGATCCACACGACAGAAGTTGGGCGCGTCGAGCCTGCAAGTACCCGCTGCTCTTGAACTGAGACGCGGGCTGCACCATACCAGGTTGCCTTGACAGGGCCACGGCCCTTTCGCCAGTAGTAGCAGTGCTCGCCGGTGTTCCAGCGAGTCGTCACGCGGCTGCGAGCATGTTCTGCATGTCGACGTCGCTCTGAGTACTCCACCTCTATGAAGCTCTGACGTGCCAGAAGTCGCCTCTGCTCCCGGGACTCTCCCGTGGCTGTCGTCCACGATGGCAAAGGGGTTCCCCGAGCCCCGATGGCCGCCAGTACCAAAGGCATGTACGAAGGGGGAATGGTTCCCGACCTTGTCAAGATCGTTGATCGCATGTGTGACATGGCTGATGACCTCGTCGATGTTGCAGTCGTGATTCTGTTTCCTGAACTTAGTGAGTCCGCTTGAACAACTGGATCCGGCGCTCAACCTTGCCCATGGGCCAGTGCGCTTCGCCGGGAGCGATGAACATCTCGATCCCGCGCGTACTGCACAAGTTTTTGGTAAGTTCCGCTCGATGACAGCCCTCAGCGTCGCAGCGACTGAGGCGAGGAGCGCGGTAGTGATTTGTCCAGGATCTCCAGGTCTCGAGGAGGTCCGATGCTGATCGGTTGCCGGACCTTTGGGACTTGTCGCCGTGGTTGAAGACCTGCGTGAGTCCAGACCCCTCGTCAAG